TCTGACTCTCAGCCCACGGTATGCCACTGCCCACAACAAGACGCACACTAGACTGACTGCGGTATTCAAGTTATCCCGTCATTTGGCAATCCTCCAGGCCACGGCTTTTAGCGCACCGTGATAGTTTCAAGCGCATCGGATTGTTTTTAGTGATGAAAGAAGTGCGCCGAGGGTCGACCACAATCTTTCCCCCATCGCCAGCAACAGGGCACCGCCTAGCTGATCGGTCGCCTGAGGTGGGAGACACACACACAAACTTAGAAGGCACCACCTTACACCCAACAGAATATGAATTGCGTACAGCGAACTGCTGTTCGCCAAAAGTTTCTAGACAGATAGGAAACCAGTACAGCCGAGATAGGTCCTATTTGTGTGGAAAGTGTGACAATGAGCTACTCGAGAAACAATCTGGATTAATTAGTTGGAAGAAGGTGGAACTCTTGCAGGATAATGTGAAACTCAGCCGGAGGAAATGCTTGGACTTAAAGATGGGAAATACTATCCTGCTCACAACATTTCTCCCAAGACCATCATATATGCAGTAGACAATTTCACGATAACGAGGAGGTTAAAACGGATGTTTTTACTTCGGAAGACAAAGTGGTCAGTAAACGTCAGACGTGCATGCCATTCGAAATGAATCATATATCGTGCTTTGTGGGTTCGACTCCCACCGAGGCCGAGAACTTTTCGCAATTGAGTCAACTGAATTAAGTAAATATGCCCAACCTCCTTAACAATTTAGTGAGCCTAGTAGTCGTTCCGGTGGATTCTAGATTATTGCTTAGGCAATTAGTTCGCTCTTCCGTAATAGTGGATTCCATACGAGTAGTAAGTTGGGCGGATAAAATCGACCCAAGTGTGATTAAATTCACGGCTCACAGTGAGCCTCGTCGCTCACTGGTAGAGCGTTGGCTGCGCAAAAGCCTTCCCTGCAGTGTGGGTTAGACCCCCAGCTAGGCCGCACGTTTTTCACAATTGGGTCAACTGAAATAAAGTAGATAAATAAAATATCTTCTGAAGACTTAACTTTTTGCTATATTTAAAAATACAAAGCCATACGAACGTTTTTGATTACCTATCAGTTAAATATCTTTTCAAGTAGTAAAGTCTGCTTTAATAACGTCATAATATGAACCAGAAAGGAACGCAAATACCGACTAATCCACTCGTGATGAATTAATGACTGAGAATTCTTGCAGTAGGTGTGGTATTCGTTACTGAAACAGGGACACTACGTAGGTAGCACGCATACCCCCATACTATCCGCGAAACCCAAATAACGCCTGTCGTGCCCTAATCCGGCCCCTGTGTTGATCCAGCGCATCTAGCATGCGGTCTATTTAGGGGCACCATCGACAAATTGTGTTCAAATGACAGGACAGAGTCGAGAAGATGGGAGGAGAGGACGTGAACACCGTGCCTGCCAGAATTAAACAGGTCGTCTGCGCGTGCCACACACGAGCTGACTCATGAATATACATCTACCAGACTTTGTTGAGGCAAGATTAGAGGTTTCACGCAAACATGACCACACCA